CTGTTATTATAGTTATCGCATTGTATTTTATTTGTTGCTTATCTCTCTCTTTCACTGGACTATGAGCTCTGTGAGGACTTGAACTTAACTCCAAATGAATTGTGGGATATAAATTTCAATACAACCACATGAATCAAAATTTACAGTAGAGAAAAAAAATAAATAGGGTATTGTGGTTCTATACTTTTGATATAAAACATGTTCATTCTTTCACTCTTTTCAACAAATACTTATTGATCACCTACAAAGGACCAGTGTAATAGCAGTTGATGGTAAAAATATATACACACAACAAGAGTTCTGAGAGGATGTAGTCCAAAATGACTCCTTGACTCTGGGGAAAATTTTAATAATTTATATTTCTTTGAAATCATCTCCATTTCCGAATTTTACCTTAATAAACATGCATTAAATTTATAGTCACATACATAAAAGGTGAGTTTTCCAAAATTACAAATTGCTATTAATACCCTAGGTAAATAATAAATATGCAATTTTATAACCATAGCTAATGTGAGAGCAGCACAATTTATCAGAATCTTTAGATTCTAATTAGACCTAATGTAAAGAATAAGACTAAACTACACAAAAATGCATTGGGATTTCCAGTTGTAATTTTGAAAAAATCCCAAGTAATGTTTCCAGGGAAAACATTAACCACAAGAGCAATACTTCCCTAGTTTCCTATACTATAGAAAGAAAGTTATTCTATGCCATTTAATGTATTAGAAAATATGATATCCTCTATACAACTTGTTCAGAAGAGAATTTAATACATAACACCGTATTTCATCTGTATAATGATTTATATATTAGACTTCACAAGTCACTTTGACCCTCACAATAATTTTTCTTGTCCCTATTGGGTAAATTAAAAAAACTAATGACTGACATGAAAGCATTTCTAACTATCACTCAAAACCTGAAATCCATAAAAGATTAATAAGTTTGCCTACATAAAAATCTAAAAGCCAAAAAAAAATCTAAAAGCCCTGCATAAAAAGTAAATTTTAAAAAGTTAGATTGCAAATGTCAAAATGGAAAAATATTTGTAATGCATATCATAGACTAAAAAAACTCATCTCATATGTATAGCTTACAGATAGATATAAAAGATACCCAGAAATTAGCATGAAAGACGTACAACTACAACATAAAGTAGGTAGAGAATTTTAAACAGGTAATTTACAGAAAAGAAAATGCAAACGATTCAAACAATATAAAAAGATGTTTTCTCTAAAAATCTTATTAAAAAAAAACTCTGGGGCCCTCCCTGGTGGCGCAGCGGGTTAAAGCACAGCACTGAGAATCTAAAGCCG